GTATGTGTACCATCTACATACATGTACATGTATATCAAGTTGTTGATGTATCAAGTAAAACTAAAAAGTGCCCAGTGTACTCCACCCACGCAGCGTTTCCCTAAGATTTCGATCACAAATCTATCACAAGTATCAGCCCTTAAACCACTGACATCATAATTGTACGTTCAGAGAGGTTTTCAGGCAGTCAGGACTTCAATAACAATAAATTTGAAAACCTTTAGTACTGATACCCTTAAAAAACATAGCAATATTTTAATGGAGATTACACGTACTATAATATGTTTTATTCTTGATACAAAAGCACTTCTTAAATTCAGAATGAGAAGGTTCTACATGTACATTATGTTTGTACCTGTAAGAATTCATATAGGTGTTTTTATTGGTACTGTACACTAGTAAATATTAACTTCAACTACACTAAATTACAACCACATGTAACTGGTTTACAGCTAGCCATAACAATACATATAAATTGTGTCTCATACAATGTATTAATAACATAAATAAATACTTGAATGAAAGCATAAGTTTATTGCAAAAAAAACAACAACAAAAACAGCCAATAGCTTTGCAGTTACACTTCTTTATTTATTTATTTTTTTTTTAGTTTTTTTTTTATTGGTAGTTAGTCAGTTAGCTAATTATTTCAATGTATCGATTCAATCTTGATATATGCCTTGAATTGTGCCAGCCTGTGGTGGTGGTTTGTTTCTTAAACATTCCAGCTCTACAAGTTGTAAGTACCAGTGGAATGTACAAGGCAAACATTACCATAAGCTTTGTCCCCCTCCCCCCTGTTACCTTGCTAAAAATACAGTCTATTGAAGTCAAATCAATCAGAAACTTCCGTGTTCACTATGTGTTGTGAAAAAGCATTTGAACCAAATCAGATTCTCCATGCAGTACGATGTATGAAAAGAGAAAAATATTTATACATAGAAATTAGAATCATGTGTTGCACTCAAACAAACAACAAACATAAAAGCTGTGAAATATACTGGTAACAGTTCATGCTACTTATACATGTGTGAGACTAATACAGATTACCAGCCATGCTTGGTGGTCATTTTGCAAGCAATGAAACTCATGCATCCAATCATAGACAGTATAGTAACCTACCATACTGTCTTTGATCCAATTTAGTATATTGTAAAATACTTTATTTTAGCTGGAATTAATTTTTGCTGAAAAGGCTTTTTGGGTGTTTTGTATGGAATTTATTTTCACTGACTTTTGATGAGTTGAATGTGAAATATAGGAAAAAGGTGTATTCGTTGAATTTTATTTTCACTGAATCATTCCTTCAGCAAAAATAGCGAAAATTAATTCCAAGTGAAAATAAAGTATTTTACAGTATATAATTTTTTATATTCAAACTTTGCCCAGACAGGTCAAATGTCCAACCTTTGCACACGGAAACATCTATAGCTGTTAAGAGACACTCAACAATATGATCTGTCATGATATGAAATTTGCAAACAAATTATTCATTTTAGAAATTAGAGCATTATATAAGTATATATTTGGATAATCAATAGAGTTAACTACCATAACAATGACCACAACAGTGATAATTAACAGGTTCATTATGAATGAAAATCTGATGACAAGAAATGTAGACATATTTCAATACCTGGCAATGAAGTAATCACAGCATAATCCAAAATTACTTCAACAAATACACTGTGAAGGGCTGAGTGTGAGCTTTTCTTGACAATTACTGTAAAATACTTCATTTTAGCTGGAAATATTTTTCGCTGAAAAGACATTTTTGATACTTTGTATGGAATTTATTAATCAACTGATTTTAGACAAGTTGAATGTAAAATATAGGAAAAAAAGGTATATTCGCTGGATTTTATTTTCACTGAATCATTCCCTCAGTGAAAATAGCGAAAATTGATTCCAAGCAAAAATACAGTACTGGTACTATTAATACAGTATTATTAATTATTTATTTTTGTATTTTGTATGTACATTATAAATACTGATTTAATTTTTTTTTTTTTGTCAAACTTTCAGAATGTTGTTCATGAAAAATTCTAAATTTATTTTCGGATAAAAATAAGAAGTCGCTCACACATGTTGAATTAAAAAAAAATAAGCAACAAGAAACATTTTTTTTTCATATATAGATGTACGCCCTGTGACATAATAGATTACTTTGTTCATTTGGTAAAACATTTTTGCTCAGTTTTACATAGACGAAAAAAAAAACACAGCTCATACTTTTCACCTTTTAACCAACATACTTTCTCGTCCAAATTTGTCTGCACTTAAAGTATTTTCAAAAATGAACCCTAATTTTGAAGCCAACAGGCAAAATTTGAATTAATTATCAGTTTTTACTCAAAAAATTTGGCTATTTTTGTCCCAATCTTCTGAAGGGAAGTGCAGACTATAAACAGGATTATTTTGTGAATTTGTGATTAAAAGAGGGTACTGCATGGTGGTGAAAAGGTTAAAATAGCAGAGTGACCTAAAAACTATTAGTCAGTTGACAGTAGTTCCAACATTTGTTTATAACCCGGGGGAGAAAATAAGCAGCGAGCAGGTAATTAGTTTAGTACCAGTCTTCTTTTCTAACAAAATCGTAATTCAACCAAATTATACATGGTGATTTCACCCTTTCATACAAGTAATGGTGTGTCATTCTTATAAAGGGATATACTTTAATTAATGGCTCTGCGGAATTAGTAACAAGAAACAGATAGTGAATTTTATTATGATGCACATATCTTTTAATATGTTAAAAAAGATATTGAGTTTAAGTTCATAATCAATACAGGTATTATTATGCTCAACTAAAAATTCTTCAATAGAAACACATATGAACCAAAAATTGCAATTATAAAATCATTATCATTAAAATATGACTTATTTTGACTCTAGAAACACCCTGTCATTCACATATGGAGTGTTAAAATATGCCTTAGCTATTCCATAATTGTAAATGCACATCACAACCAAGATCAGGGATAAAAAAACAAGCAATTTATTGAGATAAAATAAATAAAAAAACAAATAATAAATACAAATACATGTAAAATAAACCACTCTGTAAAATCAATCTACTAAACAACTACAAAATTGAAACAAGTCAAAATAAGGCTTGTAAATATAAACAATGAAGTACCTAAAATAAAATTGGGCAAAGGGGCCCCTTCGATCAGGTCACTGTCAAGGTTGGGGTCAAGGACACACTGCCACGGCCGAAATGTAGGGAGGTGGCCATGCAGATGGCCGTCGAACCCTGTAATGGGGGTCAGGATGGAGTCCTTTTCTCAAGCGGAGGGCATGAGAAGACAGAACATGACCGAAGTGACCCCCATGACATATGGAGTGTTAAAATATGCCTTAGCTATTCCATAAATATGCCTATGTTACCAACATAATCATAGGAACTACTAATAGAGCAAATACGATAATACCACAGTTGAACACCTTGCACACAGAGACAGCAAAAATCCCTAGACGTATAACGATCATATAATGCTGTAAACTATATTATAATATGGTGCACTGTCCATTACTCAGTGAAACACTACATTCTCATTGGTTGATCCGTACTAAGTTCAGCCTGTTATCATCTATGGTGTTTGTGTGGCTTGTTAACATTCAATGTTTCCCTACATTTGTATGCATAATTTATACAACAACAAACCATTATATTTTACAAGCTAAGAAATTCTGGTCATTTTCATCTAGAAATTTTAACCTCTATGTGTCTACAAGGAACCACTGCATGTATATTAAAACGAGAGGGTGTCACCTGCGCATGCGCAGGAATTGAGTCCCAAGTGATGATAACAACACACGCTAAATACGCAAAGGCTCATGGGTAGACACTTGTTTGTAAACAATGACACGCTATGGCCATCTGACGCATGCGCAGGTGACGACTCCCTCGCTTTAAATTTGTTGACAGTTCATGGTATTATAATTGAAATAACG